CCTTAAGCTCCTGCAACTCCTTCGGCGCCATACGGTATGGGGCTTTGGAGACTGGGTCGGCTCCTGTAATGAGATCAATAGAGAACTCCACCTGCCGCTTAGGTGGTCCTCCTGGAAGCTCGTCTGGGAACATGTCCACAAACTCACGAACAACTAGAACATCGTGAGGTGATCGTGCTTTCTGAGAATCATCGACAAGGCTCACCAGATAACCCTGGCAGTTGCCTCGTCGTAGCAACTTGGTGGCTTTCGCCATCGAAACAACATGAGGCAATGAACGATTCCTGGTGCCAAAGAAGGTAATTAAATCGTCTCCTGGAAGATAGAGAGTAATCTCCCGGTCATGACATCGGATATCTGCATGATAAAAGGATAGCCAATCCATCCCGAGAATGAGGTCAAAGTCCCTCATCTCAAGAACATACGCGTCGGTAGACAATGAACGACCACCGATAGAAAGGCTGAGATCTGAAGCTTTAGCTGAGGTCACTATCTTTCGTCCCGAGGCTAAACTCAACGCGAGAGGATCGACAGTGGTAATGGCATGAACTCCGATGGCATCAAGGCATCGTCGTGAAATAAAGGAGTGTGTCGCTCCAGTATTGAATAAAGCGAACACAGGAACATTATTAAGCATGATCATCCCTGACATAGTACCTGGCTGCTGCTCGGTCTCGACCTGATCGACTGCGTAAACTCGGTCCTGCTGTCTGCTGCTGCTGCTGGGGTGGCCTCTGAGCCTGCTGACGGGGCTGCTGCTGCTGCTGCTGTGGCTGCTGAGGCTGCTGGGGCTGCTGTGCCTTCTTTGGACAACGGTTAGAAAAGTGTCCAGGCTCGTGACAGTAATAGCATATATCCTGGCCGAAGCGACGCTCACCTCGGTAAAGTCGTCCGCATGTGGGGCACGGTGGAACCTGCTGCTGTCTCTATCGGGTCTTCCTGTCGGTCTGTGTGCCCTTTCCCTTCTTCTTCTTCTCCTTCATCGGCTGGGCAACTGGTAGGGCTGGTGGAGCTGTGGATGACTGTGCGGGGGCGGATGGCTGAGAACGATCACGAATGGCCTCCCTCCTGATGCTGGCGTCCACCTCCTGGGCGATCGAAACAGCACGAGCATATGTCTGGGTCCCATGACCTACAATGTTGTGACGAACTGCTGGGTAAAGTCCGTCAATAAAG